CCCTGGATTCAAACATTTGACCTATCCGTCAGCAGTCCTACCAGCACAAGGACTTACCCATCACGCCATCAGGGACTTCTGCAGAATAGTGATCATACATGAACTGTAAATTGCGTATCATACTTGATTCGTAGAAGAACAAGTTAAAGACAACTCTAACTTTGAAAGGAAACTGGATATTTTTTTATTTCACATACTTGCACTACAATCTGATTTGTTCATTAGATGGTTATACCTCGAATAATTCAGTATTTCACCCTACCATCACAGCAGGTATTAGAGCAATGTTCTTTCTTATGATCCAATGTGGCACAGAGAAAGAATCTGAAAGAGAACTCAATTACATTCACCATCACTGGATGAAAAGGCTTCTTGGACTTCTGTGAAAAAGCTCAATGTCCTCTGAATAGTTTTCCTTCTGAGAGGAAAAAAGGTATATTAAAATATCATTTTATCTCTGATTATGCTAAGTTGGTATGCAATGGTTTCCATGCACCTTCAAGAATAAAATTTGGAAAATCTAATTTCCTTGAGTTGAATCAGGAATAATACAAAACTTAATATTTTAGGTAAAATCATACTGCAGTAATTTCCATTCCTTTTGATGCAATTATACTGTGAATTTGGTTGACAGGAACAATGTCAACCTGATTTTTTTAAAAGAAGTTTTAATCTATTTATGTCTGATGTAACAACTTCTGAAAATTCAGGTTTCTACTTTTTTCATTACATAAGCACCCTGCAATTTTACATGACAGAGAAGACAGATCACCACAAAATGAATGCCTACTCAAATTTATAGAACATGATTTTAGGTGCCCTGTTCTGCTGCTGAACAAAAAAGCCAAACATTTCAGAAAAAAAAGATTACTTCCAATTCAACTGTATCTAACAGGTAGTCCTGGCTGTATCCCATTTTTTTCTTTTTCCTAAAAAAGATCCTGATCCATTTGGAACATGGCAAATCTATGACAGTAAATCATTAAACAAAGTGGCTAGTGTCTACTTGGAATGATAAAAAGTAACCTCTCAGGTTTTATTTGCAGGTGAGCCCCACACAGGATCACACCTTTAGTCTCCGGTGCCCCGAGGCCTAGATTACAATGACTTATATGGTTGGTGTGCATACAAACCTTTCATTTCAACAAGCCTTTGAGAACGACCAGTTCTAGTCCAGCCCCAAACATTGTTGAATATGGTCTTGTACTTCTTACCTATTACCCTCCCTCTAATAGGCCCTGGAAATGAGCAGCCACAGACCCATACCTGCTATTGTCATTAGCCTGTTATTAGGCCTGTTTGATCAAGAAAAAATTTGTTTCTAAAATCGATTTGTAATTGGGGTGTTTTTTTGTTTCGATATTTAAAATAATTACAAAACTTTCCAAAAAAAGTTTTGGTATTTACGAAATTTTGTAAATATTAACGAATTTTTAGAATATTTTTTGTATTTTTTAAGAATAATATTAAAATAATATTAAAAAATATTTTAAAATGGAAAATTAACCAAAAAATGGCCCAAATGTGGACCAAACACAGGCAGGAGACAGCAAATGAGAGAAAACACCAACAGAAGAGTCTTTTCTTTTTTAGAATATTTTTTAAGAATAATATTAAAATAATATTAAAAAATAATATTAAAATAATATTAAAAATATTTTAAAATGGAAAATTAACCAAAAAATGGCCCAAATGTTGACCAAACACAGGCAGGAGACAGCAAATGAGAGAAAACACCAACAGAAGAGTCTTTTCTTTTTTAGAATATTTTTTAAATAATATTAAAAATAATATTAAAAATAATATTAAAATAATATTAAAAATATTTTTAAATGGAAAATTAACCAAAAAATGGCCCAAATGTGGACCAAACACAGGCGGGAGACAGCAAATGAAGCAAGCAGCACTCACAGCAGCAAGGAATGAATCCAATCCAGTTGCAGTAGCCATTAGCCAAGCCAAACCAATGCAAACTCCCTCGCCCTCTGCAGCAATGAGCTACGGCCGCGCGGAGCCGCTTTGAAAGGGCTCGCCGGCCAATCAAAAACAAACAGCCACGGACCCACAGTGCACTGCTTGGGAGCGCCTGATTGGCTCCCAGGCACCAGCACTCCAGCAGCCTCCACCCCATTAACGAAACGAGCGGAAGCTCGTTAAATCTATGGGGGCTGCCGGTTCGATATTTTAAAACCCTTCCGGGTTTGGAAAACTGTTTTGATATCGCTTCAAAAATGCCAAAAATAACAAATTAATAACGAATTAACGAATTAACGAACGAAACCGGACAGGCCTACCTGTTATAGCATTGTACTTAATTCCTGGCCCCCTCATATTTGAGTTTGCACTAGCCTTGGCCCGGCTTTTTAATTGCTCTAAATATTATTTAGGATTATTTTTAATATACATGTGTTGTGATAATTTTATGCTTATGTTGTTTTGTTAATTTTATGTTATGCTGTTTACTTTGTATGTTTCGGTGATGTTACTTGAAAACCACCCTGAGTCCCCCTTGGGGAGATAGAGTGGTGCATAAATAAAGTTTTTTATTATATTGTTGTTGTTGTTGTTGTTGTTGTTGTCATTTGGTAAAAGATTGTCTATTGGGTATCTCCAAGTCTCCTGATGGAGGCCACAACCCATGGAAGCATCTAATAATCACTGACCACGCTTTGCCACTGAGTCTGTGCAAGCTACTAGCTTACAGAAATGCTAGGCAGAAATGTACCCTTTCACTAATATGCTGAAACTTTCATCCCCTTCCTTCGTAGCCTTACAGGTAATCCCAAATCACCTCAAACAAAGTTTGGGTTCATGGAAGAGTGTTGATGTGAAATTTGAAAATAATTACAATTCCTCCCTGTTCCACTGACAGAAATAACAAAAATATGCATCACAAAAATGCATCTCAAGATTCTGGTCTATATTATACGTATAGTAAAGGTAAAGGTAGTCCCCTGATATTAAGTCCAGTCATGTCTGACTCTGGGGTGTGGTGTTCATTTCCATTTCTAAGCCAAAGAGCCAGCGTTGTCCGTAGACACCTCCAAGGTCATGTGGCCGGCATGACTGCATGGAGCGCCGTTACCTTCCCGCCGGAGCGGTACCTATTGATCTACTCACATTTGCATGTTTTCAAACTGCTAGGTTGGCAGAAGCTAGGGCTGACAGCAGAAGCTCACGCCACTCCCCGGAATCAAACCTGCGACCTTTCAATCAACAAGCTCAGCAGCTCAGTGCTTTAACCCACTGAGCCACCGGGGGCTCCTATTATACGTATAAAACAATCCTATAAATTTGCTATAATGAACATATGAAGTCAGTATCAATTAATTCAGTTTTAAAAGAAAATCAGAAACCATTAGTTCCTTAAGGTACCATAGGTGAAACAAAACTAAATTGTAATTCCACATTTTTTCATCATACAACATCAGGACACATCCTTAATGAGAACACAACAAAATGACAATCATTAGTTGTCATTCTGTTATATATTTGTTTATCATTCACACAGAATGAAGAATATAAGCTGTGTTAGAAATGCTAGAAGTCAGTGTGAAGAAAGGATAGTAGTTTCACCCTAACATCACAGTAATATGCAGCTCCACCCCTATATGTCTAGTTATATGGCAAAGACATCTGCAGTACGAAGGACTTTGTACATGCCCCCATCCACATAGAAGCTTTAGCATAATATAAACCTCCAATCTTTTCGAATTCTGAATCAGGATACACTTTTATATATTCAGTTATGCACACAAAATTCTCCAATTGCACTTTATTGTACAACATACTGAGGAGCCTGATGTGGAGCCACATAGTGCTGTAACATCAGGGACAAAACCATTCGGTGTCCATCCCTGCTCACATGGTAAATCTGAACATTTCTAACAACTCCAGCACAATTCTAATAATTCCAGCTATAAAGTGTATTCTACAAGTCTGGAGAAACTTGTAGTCCTCCAGATATTCTTAGAATCATGACAAACAATGCTGGCAAGAGCTCATGGAATCAGCAACCTAACAACATCTGGAGTGATACATACTGCTGACTTAAGCACTCTTTCACCCCTGCTTGGGCAATAAACACAGACACACCTTGAGTTTGCTTCTGGCTATCCCCACAATGTTTCTCCACTAGGGCAATATTAAGTATTGTGGGTTAAATTGGGTTAACCCAGCATAACCCCATGTTGGGAAATGTTGTGGGATACTCTCGGGTTCGCCTGAAACTCCTATTCTACTGGCTTCAGAATAGTGTGGACAGCAGGATTGGGTCCAATTCAGGACCTTGTCACATTGGGAGATACTGCATTTCTGAGACTCCTTGAATATGTTTCCAAATCATGTGACATTTGTCCCATTCTGTCAGAAATCTGTTGGAATCCATCTGTTTTTTGATTTAATATAATTCTGAGACATTGCTTTTACATGTGGAAATAAAGTCAGTATACATTCCATCAGCTAAAAATATCATGAGAATTTAACAATATTTATAAAATCAAACAATATTTGATTTTATAAAATGGTGACATAGGAAGCCATTTGAATGGACTGGAAAGAGCCAGTCTTCCATGGTATGATGAGTCAAAGTGTGGTATTTTCAAAATGTAAGAATCAGGTGTGATGAAGTCAGTGCATCCCATCTGAATACAGTATGCATGCAGCCCTAACAACACAGTATGTATACTGATATAAATGGAGTATATCTCAATGTGATAAAGTCCTCAGACTGGTCTGCTGTCCACACAGGACACCGCTACCATTCCTTTTTGTCTGTGTTGAAAAAGGAGGCAGACTATGTCTGCGTCACCACCACTCCCAAATCGCTTCATGAGAGCTCCTGGCCAATGCAGGTACCGTGTGCTGACATCAACGGAGACCATGTATAACCAGGAAGAAGGTGGGGTAATCATGGTTTTAGTGCAAATGTAGCATAGTAAATCGCAAATAGTTAATAAAAATAAAATGAAAACCAGAAAGCAATAAAATGAACATTTTACCTGATAAGACAACTTCAATAAGGTCACCTTCTTGGATATCACTAGCTGCTTTGACGAGCTGGAGAATATTTTCAGTGGTCGGGTCATGTCGAAAAAGCAGGATTTTATCATACATTCCATAGAAACCACACTCAGGAAACTGAAAATAGATAACGTTGAGCATTTAGTTCAGGCACAAATAGTACAAAATTTTAGTTTTATTATTTTAAATCTGGTACACAATCTGGTAGGCTAATTTCAGAATATATAATAACACTAGCCGTCCCCTGCCACACGTTGCTGTGGCCCAGTCTGCTGATCTGGAAAATAAAGTAACGAGAAAGTGTTGGTTTCTAATATATGTAATTTCTTGATGCTTGTGGGTAAACAGTATTTTTTGCTGTTTCTTTATCAGTGTTGATGTGGAGATTGTCTGGTATGCCTACTCTGGAACATGCAACATATCATTGTCCTTCTTTAGGGGTCCCTTTCAAATCTATGATACTATATCTGTGTGTGAATCATATCTATCTATCTATATCTATGGCTGGATGGCTCTTTGTCAGGAGGGCTTTGATTATGTTTTCTTGCCCTGGTGAAGGGAGATGGACTGGATGGCCTTAAGTATTTTCTGTTGGTCATGGGGTTCTGTGTGGAAAGTTTGCCTCAGTTCCGTCATTGGTGAGGTTCAGAATGCTCTTTGATTGTAGGTGAACTATAAATCCCAGTAATTACAACTCTCAAGTGTAAACTCACAGCAGCCGCTCCCAGAAAAGACACAGGACGCCAATCCGTAATCAATCAGGAAACTTTTACTACTGGAAATGCATACACAACGAAAGCCAGGATTGGCATGCAGCCGCAGTCAACCCCTTTTATACCCTCCCTCACAATTGAATCTCCCTTTCCCGCCAGCCGAGGATCCCGCGCAATGTTCCCCGCCATTTATCAACTGCTTTCCCCCAAGGCCACCAGCTGCACATCCTTATCAGTTTTCCTAGTCAGGACGTGGGTTTTTTGCGCCAATGTCCGAGGCCAGGAAACCGAGTCCTGACATGACGTCCCCCTCCTCCTCCTCCTCTTCCGCGAAGGGGGATACACGTCACTGTCATGTCCCTTCTTTATCTAGTGGTCCTTGATATTTTTTTAACAAGCTGCAATGGAACGTTGGGTGTATCTTTCCCAAAACCTTTGGTAACTTCAACGTGTATGTTACATCATTTATTTTGTTGGAAATTCTAAAGGGCCCAATGTATTTAGGAGACAGTTTTCTGGAGGGTCCACTCAACTTAAGATTTTTGGTGCTCAACCACACCAATTCCCCTTCTTCCAACTTGTCTCCCTCCCTCCTTTTCCTATCCGCAAACAATTTATATTTTCGTTGGGCTTCTCTAAGTGACTTCGCCACTTCCTCCCAGCTCGCCTTCACCTTGTCTGGCCACCCTTCCTTTCCCCAGGGTTCCTCCTCCCAACTCGGCAATTTTGGCAATGGGGTCACTTCCATTCCGTACACTATTTCAAAGGGAGATTTACCTGTGGACGCGTGACATGCTCCATTGTATGTGATTTCTGCAAATGGGAGTAACTCTGCCCAATCGTTTTGGCAATGATTTGTGTATGTCCTTAGGAATAACCCCAATGTCTGTTGTGTGCGCTCGACCCCTCCATTGGTCATGGGATGGAACGCTGAACTCAGGGTCCTTTCCACCCCCATTAAATGCATGAACCTCTCCCAGAACCGGGCCGCAAATTGCACCCCCCGATCACTGATCACCTGGTCGGGACAGCCATGCAATCGATAGACATGTTTGATAAATAGCTCTGCTAACCTTTCTGCGGATGGTAACTTTGGCAGCGCTATGAAATGTGCCTGCTTCGAGAACAGGTCCATCACTGTCCAAATGTAGCGCTGACCTCGGCTATTGGGGAGTTCGCCCACAAAATCCATGGCAATTACCCTCCAAGGTTTCGATGGTTCTGCCACCCTCTGCAACAATCCCGTTGGTTTTTGTGTGGTTGCCTTACTTTGTGCACATGCGTTACATTGGGATACATACAATTTTGTGTCACCCCTCATCCCGGGCCACCAACATTGGCGTGCCAGTGACTTCAGGGTTTTCGTGACCCCCCAGTGTCCTGCCCCCTTGCTGCCATGGCTCCTGACCATCATTTTTCCTCGCAAGTTGATTGGGATGTATAACTTTTTGTTCACAAACCCCAATCCATCCTTCCATTCCACCTTTTCCTTATTTCTTTCCAACCACTCATCCTCCTTGCATGCTTGCCTTATCTCCTCCTCCCATCCCCCGTCTTTGCTCTCAACCCCCACTAGCCTTTGACTGCGCTCCGTTTGTGCTCGGGTTTGTACTGCCATGCCCCACTGTCGCTCTGAGAATATGCTCCCCTTTGGGCCTTGCCCCCTCCCTCCATTCTCCGGCATTCTTGACAGCGTGTCTGCGACTACGTTTTGTTTCCCCTTATGAAACCGCAGCTTAAAATCAAATCGGCTGAAATACTGCCCCCATCTTATTTGCTTTGCTGACAACTGCCTGGGTGAAGTGAGGTATTGCAAGTTTTTATGGTCGGTCCACACCTCGAAAGGTATGCCGCTTCCCTCTAATAAATGTCTCCATGTTTCCAGAGCCCTTAAGATTGATAGAGCCTCCTTTTCCCATACTGGCCAGTTCCGTTCAGTTTCGCTGAACTTTTTTGAGATGAACCCGCAGGGTTTCAACCTCCCTTCCGGATCCCTTTGCATCAATGCTGCCCCATAAGCCCAATCCGATGCGTCACAGTGGATCACGAATGGCTTGGTTAAATCGGGGTGGATTAGGATCGGTTCCTCAGTGAATCTGCGTTTCAGTTCTTCAAACGCTCTTTGGCACTCCGTTGACCAATTTAATTTTGCCCCCGGGGACCGTACCTTTACTGTCTCCCCCTTTCCCTTTGTTTTCAGCAGTTCAGTTAGGGGCAGAGTCACCTGGGCAAAGTCCTCTATGAACCCCCGATAAAAATTGGCAAATCCCAGGAACGATTGCAATTGCTTGCGTGTTTGGGGGGGTCCCCACCCCTTGACATCCTCTACCTTTGAGGGATCCATTGCTATCCCACCCTTGGAGATTCGGTATCCCAAGAAATCTATTTGTTCCTTATTGAATTCGCATTTCGGTAACTTAGCAAACAGCTTTGCTTCCCTCAACTTCTGGAGTACCTCCCTCACCAACCGGACATGAGATCGCTTATCACGGCTAAAAATAATTACGTCATCTACAAAACAATACACCCCGCGATACAGCAATGGGTGCAACACCTCATTAATCATTTGCATAAATGCTGATCCAGAGCCTTTTAGCCCAAAAGGACAGACGGAATATTCGTAGTGCCCGAGCGCACAGGTAAAAGCCGTTTTCCACCTGTCCTCTGGCCGTATCTGCAACTTATGATAGGCTTCAATCAAGTCAATTTTCGTGAACACCCTTGCTTCCGATAGTCTCGACAGTAAGTCCTTGGTTAGCGGCATTGGGTACTTGTTGGTCGTGCTCATTGCATTCAGTCCCCTATAGTCCACGCACAACCTCAATGAGCCGTCCTTCTTGTGCCTGAACAGCACTGGGGCCCCCAGCGGGGATTCGGAGGGTGTTATAAATCCTCGTGCTAAGTTTTTATCAATATATTTCCTCAGTTTCCATCTCCTTAGCCGACATGGGATACAATCTACTCCTGGGTAATTTAGCATCCTCATTGAGTTCTATTTTCACTTCAACCCGTCTTGGGGGAGGAAGCTGATCCGCCTCCTTTTCGTCAAATACATCCTCAAAGTCTCTATACTCGGGTGGGATCTCCTGCACTCCGCCTGCCGTGCCTTCCTCCCCCTTACAACATTTCCCCTCCTCCTTGCTTTGGAAGCTTATGCTGCCCTTTCTCCAATTGATTTGTGGGTTTGCTTCCTTTAACCACGGCATCCCCAGTATCACATTGTAAGTTGCTATAGGGGATACCACAAAGGTGATGCCGCCTTCCCAGTCCCCTACTTTGCATTTCACCTCTCCCACTTCGAATTGCGCCGGGGCTCCGGCCGCTACTGAGCCATCCAGCTGCGAAAATGCTATAGGGGCTGGCAAGACGGTCTTCTCACAGTTCAGTTCGTCTGCCAGTTCTGGGGTTATAATGTTCCTTGAACAGCCGCAATCCATGAGGGCTTTGCAGCTGGCCCACTTCCCCTCCCCTTCTAGCCTGATCGGGAACATCAACATTCCTGGGCTGTGACTCACCATATCTCTCTCTGGGGCCCTATGAGGGAGGCTCTCTTCCGCTCTCTTCCCTGCGGCCGGTTTAAACTTTGGGTGAGGGGAATTCCCCCCTTTCCTTTGTCTGCAACCGGCTGCCCGATGGTTAAAGCGGCCGCATACAAAACAACTGCCCTTCTGCTCCTTTGATCCTCCGGCGGCCCCCTTTCCGATCGTGCTTCTCTCCGTCCTCCGATTCTCCTCCTTGGGCCTCGCCTGCTGCAGCGCCGTCCCTTGATGCCTCTCGATCTGAGCCAAGGTCGTCTCGACGCGGCCAGCCAGCTCAATCCATCCGCCTATCTCCTCCGGATCGTCGCGATGAAGTGCCCAGGTCAAAATTTCCTTCCGCAGGCCCTCCTTGAATATCTGGACCTTGGTGGCATCAGACCACTCTGGCACTTTCTCCGCCCTCAACCGGAACTCTTCCACGTACTCGGACACAGAGCGATGGCCTTGGGTTATCGTCTGCAGCCTTTCTCTCGCCCGGATCCTCTCAAGCGGGTCCCTGAAGCGTGCCTCCATCGCAGCCAGGAATCGTCTCGTGGATCCCAAACATGGGTCATGCCTGGCGTGGAGCTGGACATACCACTCCGCTGCTCCTTTCCTCAGTGCTGCGCCCACTGCCCGCACTCTGCTTGCCTCCGACCCGAAGGTGAGAGCGTTGTCCTCTAGATACCCCCTTACCATGGTTAGGAAGTATTTGAGGTTCTCAGCTTCCCCTCCGAATTCAATCCTCAACTCCTCCCTTCTGGGTTGGTAAGGAAGGGGTTGCCTCTCCATCCTCTCCGCCCGCGGTGGCCCTCCCTGGAGCCTATGCTGCTCCGGGGGCAATCCTTGCCGCCCTGTGCCACGCCCGGCCCCGGCCGGGGGCACC